GGCCCATTATACATGTTACCATGTTATGCCATTAGAGTAAAGGGGTAACGGGCCCATTATACATGTTACCATGTTATGCCATTAGAGTAAAGGGGTAACGGGCCCATTATACATGTTACCATGTTATGTCATTAGAGTAAAGGGGTAACGGGCCCATTATACATGTTACCATGTTATGCCATTAGAGTAAAGGGGTAACGGGCCCATTATACATGTTACCATGTTATGCCATTAGAGTAAAGGGGTAACGGGCCCATTATACATGTTACCATGTTATGCCATTAGAGTAAAGGGGTAACAGGCCCATTATACATGTTACCATGTTACGCCATTAGAGTAAAGGGTAACGGGCCCATTATACATGTTACCATGTTATGTCATTAGAGTAAAGGGGTAACGGGCCCATTATACATGTCACCATGTTACGCCATTAGAGTAAAGGGGTAACGGGCCCATTATACATGTTACCATGTTACGCCATTAGAGTAAAGGGGTAACGGGCCCATTATACATGTCACCATGTTACGCCATTAGAGTAAAGGGGTAACAGGCCCATTATACATGTTACCATGTTATGCCATTAGAGTAAAGGGGTAACGGGCCCATTATACATGTTACCATGTTATGCCATTAGAGTAAAGGGGTAACGGGCCCATTATACATGTTACCATGTTATGCCATTAGAGTAAAGGGGTAACGGGCCCATTATACATGTCACCATGTTACGCCATTAGAGTAAAGGGGTAACAATTATACATGTTACCATGCCCATTATACATGTTACCATGTTATGTCATTAGAGTAAAGGGGTAACAGGCCCATTATACATGTTACCATGTTATGCCATTAGAGTAAAGGGGTAACAGGCCCATTATACATGTTACCATGTTATGTCATTAGAGTAAAGGGGTAACAGGCCCATTATACATGTTACCATGTTATGTCATTAGAGTAAAGGGGTAACAGGCCCATTATACATGTTACCATGTTATGTCATTAGAGTAAAGGGGTAACAGGCCCATTATACATGTTACCATGTTATGTCATTAGAGTAAAGGGGTAACAGGCCCATTATACATGTTACCATGTTATGTCATTAGAGTAAAGGGGTAACGGGCCCATTATACATGTTACCATGTTATGTCATGTGCACAGTTTAATAAGCGCCAATATATTCATTAACATGAACGCTACAGATCAGGATACATATCAGGATATAGAGATATTACAAACGCAATAATGTAATACGATTTAAAAGCTAGATATAACTATATTTTCCAAGATCATTAATGACAATTATATTTTTGACATGAACAGTTGAAACAGCTTCTCATGTGATGGGAGATTATAATGATATTTGGGAATTGTATTTTCTCTAAGATCATTTGTAAAATGCACACTCAAGGCAGAAATGATATTCATTTTCAACAGTAGGAATGATACAAAAAGGACACAAGCGATCACTTCCCTCAACTCACGTGCCTAAGGTAAGACCACATGTATCACATGTGTTTCGTTGTCCTAGAAACTCTCAGGAGTGACGCTGACAAACACGATCACCCATCCAAGGACTCTCCGCGCTCGACGTTGCTTAACTTCAACGGATTTGTGATCTAATAATAATGTGTCCATTTATATAACGCCAAACTCCACACTAGGTATGCTCATAGCGATAACAATCAAGGCACAGCACATTATTACCCCGGATAACCCAAGCTGCCTGTTAGGCGCTAGAAGGTTATAGTCATATGACTTTTTCCACCGGGTACCCATTTTCCTGCTGGGTGAACAGAGACAATTTTGAACAAACTCACTTGCCTAAGGTGAGACCACATGTGTCACATGTGCTTCGTTGTGGGGCAGGACTCAAGTCCTAGAAACTCTCAGGAGTCAAGCTGCCAAACACGGTCACACATCCAAGGACTCTCCGAGCTCGACGCTGCTTAACTTCACCGATTTGTGACCTGAGCTTTGAGCACAGGATCACGCGCCGTCACTAGACCCTACACACAGTGCCACGCACCACTAGCCGAGAAAAGACCAGGCGGACAAGCTGTTTAAACGATCTTTTGAAGAAAACATAAAAAATAGGCTGCTAACAAAGGTGTTCACTGTATATTTTGACCTGAGGCTCTTATATTTTAAGATTATTTGGAATAAACATTATTTCCGAAGTAATCTTGTGTGAATTCATTTGCATATCGCACCAATTTTTCGGTATTTACAGCAAGAAATCCAGTTTGCAAATATGTTTTGACATTTCATGTCTCACTTTGTTGAAGGCACGTGAAGAATTGATCTTCAGTAACCCATGTTTGTCGTAAGAGGCGACTAACGGGATCGGGTGGTCAAGCTCGCTGACTTGGTTGACACATGTCATCGTATCCCAATTGCGTAGATCGAGTCTCATGCTGTTGATCAGTGGATTGAATTTGTCTCGATTATTTACAGACGGCCGCCATATATCTGGAATAATGCTGAGTTCGGCGTAAAACTAAACTCACTCACAAAGTAGTATTTAAGTAGATGTTATACTGGTCTACGAATTTAAAAACAATTCAGGATATGTCTGTGACGTTTACGTCATATTTTACAGAGTAAAATAGATTTTGATTACGGTATGGTACGAGTAACGTCCCTTGCCTCTACAACAGTATCGCTGCAGTTATCTCCCTTATATTAGCATCAGCGCCCGCACGGCGTCAGGCTTTCAACATCACGGAGCAGTGATAAGTTGTATTGAAAATGTCATCAAAAGAGGTTTCAGAGCAAACCGACGTGAAACCGAAACGCCAGAAAGCTGGACTAAAGATGATGGAAGCCCTCGAGTCGCTAAAACCTTCTCCACGGACGTCTTCTGACATTCTCTCACCGCAGACTAGGTAAACCATGTCGTCTGGTAGCCCACCATTGCATAATGCATCAGCCAACGACATGGAACGGAGCACACACGCCCTCGAAATGGAATGTGCCGAATTAGAAACAGAAATGAAACGTCTCAGGTTGGAAGCTAAGCGTGTTACTCTGGCGAAGGAAGTGGAGCACCCTAGACAAGAGTTGGATGTTAGTACATTTGTGTCTTCGAATTTAAAAACAATTCAGGATATGTCTGTGACGTTTACTATGCTTTTAGCAGCCCAGGATTAGTCGGACCGAACATTGTGATTTGAGTCAAAGCTTCCCTTTGGGAGACTTTATACAGCTGAATGTAGGCGGATATAATGCTATTTAATGGGTTTAAACACAATTCAGGATAAGTTAATTTAAGCATCCCGGTCCAAATCATCCAAAACAAATACAATCAAGGAGCCTCACTTTAACGGACAAGTTCGCTTACGAACGATAAAGTCATGTAATAAAGAAGTGGGAAGATATAATTCTTTTCCGCAGATGTAGGCACATTTGATGAGGCATCTGTGAGGCTTACACTACTTTTGACAGTAAGAGTCCACACGTCTCAAACACTTCCGTCTAGGGAGGCCGTGAGGTAGCCTAGTGGTTAAAGCATTCCCTCGTGGAGCCGAAGACCCGGGTTCAGTTCCCCACAATGGGCACATTGTGTGAAGCCCATTTCTAGTGTCTCCCGCGGTGATATTGCTGGAATATAGCTAAAAGCGGCGAAAAACTAACCCCACTCTCTAACTCAATATTATTCTATGAACTTAAACATTGGTTGGTTGGTTGTTTTACGCCGCACTCAGCACTGTTATATGGCGGTACTTAAATATTAAAAGCTTTAGCCTATATTTAAGCATGTCCACTTACAATTAAAATATACACCCTGTGATGCTTCAGCTTGAACCGATATAGGTGAGTGAGGGCGGTAAGTAACCTTCTCACATGGACATCAAAGAAAACACCCAGGTTCAACACGACGGGACACTGGGTATGTAGTCATAGTTGTTTATTTCATTGATCAATAAACATTTCTATCCAAACATGTACAAACCTATACATTCGTGAAGTCTGGAAATATAAATATCTATACTGTTGCGCCTGTTCGGTTTTAATATCCTGCAATCCATTTTTAGTATTACCGGCCCAGCTATTCTTGGCCAGGGTTTCACATTCTCGGACATCTCTGAAGCAAGGACGACTGCTACATAACAGCCTAATTTCACATCTCGGGACATCTCTCAGCCTGGACAGATTGTAACAAAACAGCCTAAGCACACATCCCGGGACATCTCTCAGCCTGGACAGATTGGAACAAAACAGCCTAAGCACACATCCCGGGACATCTCTCAGCCTGGACAGATTGTAACTCAACAGCCAAAGTACGCATCCCCGGACATCTCTCCACCTGGACCATTGTAACTCAACAGCCAAAGCACACATCTCGGGACATCTCTCAGCCTGGACAGATTGTAACACAGCAGCCAAAGCACACATCTCGGGACATCTCTCGACCTGGATCGATTGTAACACAACTGTCTGAGCACATATCTCGTGACTGCTCATTCTCTTCCCACAGAGGTTACTCAAGTCATATCTTCCCACGTAACCTCTGTTCTAATACGGCCCTTTAATGGTGCGAGTGTTCAGGATTCATGATTGGTTGCAATCAGATTTAGTTGTGCAATCAGCGACGTTGTTTCAAAAGTGATCGTTCGCAAGCTCTCGGTAAATTCCGTGTGCTCGGAAAACTGAAATCTCTTCCCCTGCCCGATGCGCAAACGTTTCTTCTAGTTAGAACTTAATCATGTAATGGCGGATCAATGGCGTCTCCACCTCCCTCGTTGTCAACGGACAAGCTAGCCATTAAATGTCTTGTGTGTCACATCAACATAAGTCATCGGCAGATGGGGGATATTTGTGGCCCCACTTTGTTGTAAGTTTATGATTTTCAGTTAAACATGAAATACCGAATCTATCCTTCGCATATTGATCAACTAACTCCATAGCGGCCGCCATATTGGATCTAAGTCGATGTGACACGTGTTCTGATTGGATAGAAAGAAGGGAGATAATTCGTGTTGCGATTTTTTGCCGCCAGGGTATTTATGGCCGTATTAGAACTCGAGTAACATCTGTGGGAAGAGAATGGTGACTGCTCAGTCTGCTCCAAATCTGACCACTGACTGACTCCTCCTCCATAAATCTGGCGTCATCTAGATCTTTGTGACCATGCACATCAAAGGAAAAGTTGCCATAGTTACCGGCGGTGCAGGTGGGCTTGGACAAGCAATAACCAGAGCTTTGCTGGAGAAAGAAGCCAAGGTAACACAAGAATCATCAGTTTAAAAATTGCCTTACCGAGTTACTTTTTTTCAAACGCACAGATTGCAGTTCCCGTGGCCTCATTCTGTGGCGTCGCCTCAGCTGGTGTCGTTAGTGTTGTATATGTACACACTATATGCACGAATTTCAAATGCACAGTCTTCAGTTCCCTTGTCCTGTTTGTGTTTATGTGTCATATTTGTATTTTCTTTTGCGAAGAAGTGTTTATCAGTGTAGTCAATAAGTATTATTCATAAGATACTGAAAATATGCATACGTATTTCAATTTACTGTTCCCAAGGCCTCACACAATGCGTTACCTGGTCTCGTTTGCTATATTGTATTTCTTATCTCCTGTGTGACGTGCTGCTCAAATTCCACATCCTGCGTGGAGGCTTATCGTATTCCGACCAACATTAGTGACCCACTAGTGTTATTCTGGAAAAGGCCAAATTAATACTCGTAGCACTCTGGCGTATGAATATCAGGCCTATCAAATATATTTTTATTCAGTCCGTTGGTATATGACCAGATGGTGGACACATGAATACGTGCAAACACCTAGTTGCGGGTACAGCAAGGTGAAGTGAACTTGGACAAAGTACTGTGACTATGTGTCCCAGTTCACCCAGCTGTGAATGGGTACCTCGTTAGGATGAGAAAGCCACAATAACTCGGTGCGCCTAGTGGCTGCAAGAGTTGTATACTCCCCAGGGAGTTGAGATTGATAATACGATGTGCCGTTGGGATTGACATCCAATGATCGAGGGAACAAATACAAGCGCCTTGAGCATGCACTCGTTGCCTGGATATGTGCGCTATATAAATAGCCTATAATAATAATAAAATGAATAAGGTTTCGTCAGCAAGCTGTTATAGTTTATATCAACACCGCTCCCATAGAACACATAACACAAATTAGTAGTGTGTACATTACTATATGATAAGCCAATGGAACGGTAGATAAGACCTGTGTAATGTTTATCTTTGTTCAGTGAACACATTCAACACACCATATCTACCATGATTAGCCAGATACTCTCTCAACAGCCATGATGCTCAAGTGTCTGTAATAACACAATTTTGTTCCTTCACTCCGTCCATTTTGTTTAAAGAGGGCTATAATTTGTGAAGTTACTCCACACAAACGAAGAAATAAATAAACAGAAGAACAAAGTCTATATAATTAGGAAATGGCATCCAAGGTATTGAATGTTTGGTCAACAAGCTGTTATAGTTTATATCAACACCTAACACAAATTTTAAATTAAAAAAGTTAAAAACAGATGTATGCTGAAACCAAATTGACTTGTATTTGTAATTTTATGTAACCTAAATTCGTGGATAACCTTGATTCGTGGATCGCGGAAATTATTATGCTAGCTCGTAAATTAAGTCTCGACTGACGTCACGAAGCGGTACTTTTGATGTACATACAATGCCACGCCTCTCTGACAAAAAAGTTCCGAATCTCTGCATTACACGGAAGTACACTAAATATAATTGTCCAGATTGAGATAAATAGCCCCAGATCACTAATACCACCATTGCCAAAACAAATTTTCACAAAATGTCAAGTAAAAAAGATACCGTTAGACTTCTCCTGTTGACAGTCTCTACGTCGAGGCAGATGAACCATCTTTTACACAACGCCGTATAAAATTGTCCTTGCAGTATATCACAAAACTTTACTCTATTGAATCTAACCCTGCATTTCATTGTGTCTTTAATCCTCTTTATGAGGATTTGTACAACAAAAAGCCTTCTCTTGTTCCGCCTCTTGGTTTAAGAATTCAACCATTCCTTTCTGTTGCCGGCATTGAGCTGGAAAATATATCTCCTTCCCGTCTTCTTTCTTCTCCTCCTTGGCAACTGGTGAGGCCTGAAGTTGACCTAACTCTGACACAGTTTAAGAAATCTGTAACTAATGAATTACAATATAAACAAGAATATAATCAATTAAAAACTAAATATAATACATACAAATCCTTATTTACAGATGGGTCCAAGGATGGTGGCGCGGTGGCTTGTGCCACTGTCATTGGATCCCGAACAATATCTTCTCGACTACCAAATAACAGCTCTATTTTCACAGAAGAAGCTACCGCCATATTGACAGCTCTTCAATATATTAATAAACACCGTAAATATAAACAATACATAATATTTTCCGATTCCCTTTTGTGTCTTCAGGCTATTAAAAATATTTCTTGTAAACATCCACTTTTATTAGAAATTTTTGAATTGTATAATGAGTTTGCTACTGGCCAATGCGACATCGTCTTTTGTTGGTTACCCAGCCACGTTGGCATTTGTGGGAATACACTGGCTGATCTTGCTGCTAAGGCAGCACTCAATAAATCTGTGACACCACTTCTTATTCCTTACTCTGATTACAAAGCTAGCATTAGAACTTACATCCGCGGTCTGATGCAGAAGAAGTGGGACACCCAGGTAGGTATTAATAAATTACATGAAAAAAAACCCTATATTGGTTACACCTACTTGGGTTGTCAGTCCAGATTTGAAGAGGTCATCATACGACGATGTCGTATTGGCCACACTAGATACACTCATGCGTACCTATTGAAAGGTGAGGATCCTCCGTTTTGTATCCCTTGTGATGAGAAAACCACGGTCAAGCATGTCCTGCTTGACTGTGTTGAATTCTCAATCATAAGGGATAAATACTTCAATGTGAAAACAGTTGAGGATCTTTTTAACACTGTTAATTTTCATTTAATTATTGGCTTCTTAAAAGAAATTGACTTAATGAATGAATTTTGAATAATATGCTCTGTACATATATGCATTTTAATTATTGGTAGATTTGATTAGTAACTTAGATTGTTAGTGGCTGTACCCTCAAAGGGGGTTGAAGTATTGTAAAATTATTGTCCTCCTGAGAGGGTACGTAAGTCCCAAAAAATTTCAAGTAAATTTAAGTATACCAGGTGTTTTAATCGTAGTATTTTTGTCATTTTAATGTATGGCTAATTCTCGGTATAAACGCCAATGGCTGAAGGGATGGTGTAAATCCAGCTAGGGTCCATGCAGGTAGCAAAGGTACTGTAGGTCCCCATGGTCCCTAGTATGGTGATCTACCTTCAGTTGTTGGCAATCTATAGTCCAATTTTACATTGTATTGTCCAGAAATAATTTTCTACTTTTAAAGATATATGTTAGCTAGTTTTAACTCAATCTGTGATAATCTAGTGGTTTTACTGTCCTTCGTTGACAGGGTTTTATATATTATATGTATGTATTACAAATTTAGAACTAGTTTTAGTCACGATATGGCTGAAATATTGCCGATGTGACTTTAAATCGTAACTCACTCACTCACCTACTGCAGTGGGATATCATAAACAGTGGTATAAAGTAACCGACTACGTAATCCACGAAACAAGGTGACGTCACATTTTGTGGGCACATGAATGGGTGATGATTGCAAATGGCTTCCGTAAACAAACGTTTCATTCACGAGTGGAATTATAGGCATTTTCAATTTGCTGAATCAATGAATAAAATAATCAGTGCGTATACAAAATGAAATCATGCATTTAAAATATGAATTTCGCCGCACTTCCCTTATATCCACGAATCAAGGTTACGCGAGTGTAAATCTATCAGATGAACACATGTATGAGTAATTGGTCAGCAACAGTTTGGTGTACCTCAAGAGTTATAGGAATAAGGAACACGTGGAGATTAACTGGTGATACGTGGTTTAAACAATATTTATTTTCCTCTGATGACATATCTGTATAATTTTACATAGGCTTTTTGGGCATTGGCAAACAGGCAAAGTTGCCTATGTTAATGCCTCTCCCCACATAATATGGAACATACACACTCAGACGTCACACGTAAATTAAGGAAAACAAAACAAATCCACATTGTTACCAAATCCACATTGATGGGTACCAAGTGAAGTTTCTTGGACTTAAACTGGTGATAATGATACTGTCTTAATAGAGTTGTTGAGTATCGTTGTTAGATTTTATATTTTAGTGAATCGATTCGTTTCTTGAATATAATTGTGGACTGATGTTGCTAGAGTATTACCTTCAATATCATTAAATCGGCTATCACTGTGCAGGATAGTTTTGATATCAAATCCTTTGGCGTAGAAGTATTTGTTTTGTCTCAAATGATTACAACGAGGACACACAAAAAAATAATGTAATGGATCCTCTGTGGAATGGCCACAAGGGCAGGAGGGCTTTTCAGCTAAATGCCTATCAACAAGGTGAGAATTCAAATCGCTACAATCAAGACGGAGTTTGCATAGTATTATCTGACAATGGCGTGATCCGAAGTTAGCATACTTTTTGAAATTTGGACTCAGATGTATATCCTTGTTAATAATACGTTTGAACTGCGCAAGTGTCGGGGCGTCTCTGCTAGCACTAGCGAGGGAGTTACAAATTTGGATAACAGAAGGTAGAAAGGAAGTATTGTAAGATGTGGATCTACCCATTATGTGATACGTCGGTGATACGTTCTTATTCAAATTCAAATTACATTGGTATTGCAAGCTTTGAAACGTTTTGATTTTGTGATAAAATTGTGGATTGATTTCAGAACATTCATATTTTCAAATATCCGTTTCCAGGTAATAGCCATGGAAATAGAAATACGTTTTACGTCTTACTCCTATCTGTCTATACTTTACACACGTGAAGAAGTACTGTAAAGCGTTTTCGGTGTGGTATACTCAGGAACAGTCTTGCCGGTCCGATACATGTCCATTATCCATGTCAGGTTTGAGGTCACTTCAAACGAGCCTAAGACGGCAGTCTATAATTTTACAAAAGCGAGACCCGAAATTTAAATCAAACTGTATTTTCTTGTTAGATTTTGGTATCAGCCTTTAAGCTTCAGAGAGTGTAGAGGACTCTTTGTAAGTTTTGGGTACAGCATTCCATGAATGTATTCTGTCAGGTTGGAAGGATTTGGCATAAATAGGTGTCCTACAATATATACCTTGTATCTGT